ATAGGTAAATTCTTTAATAATAGAAAAAAAGACCAAGGGGTGGATTGATCCCCCCCCCCAGTAAATACGCCGCTGATTATATAGTATTCACGGTTACTGTATTAAACATTGAACTGTAATATACCAATTGATAAAACAATGTATGAACCCCGTTGAATCAAAGAAAATTGAACTGTTATTACACAAGAAATTAAACCAAAGGAACACGGTGTATTATACAAATCGAGGTGCACTGATGCACGGTTATTACACCGATATGAGCACTTTAAATACACGGTTTAACCTGTATAAAAAATCGGTATTCAAAATCAGAAAAAAACGGTTCACTGAACAGGATTTACACCGTACTCTGCAACAACACATCTTAATATATTAAACACTGACAGCACTGAAAATGCTTCTCGGGAAGTACTTGGACAAAGTATTTTTAATTTATACCATTTTCTATTTTAGTTTTAATAATTTTAATGTACTTGAAAAGGTTCAAGTTCCCACGTAAAATATTTATAAATTACAACAAAATAACTAAAATCGTTATACTTGGTTATTAGATATTAATTTCGTTCAAATTTGAACTTGGAAAAAAAACTGCATTTTATTTGATGATGATGATTTTATTTGATGATTATACGCCCCGAAGAGCATTTAGTTGACAAAAACGTAGTAAATTAGATAAATTACATAAGTAGAAAATAAGTTAATACAATTATATGTATAGATAACAGGTAAAAGTAAAGTGGCAGGACTAAGGTTGGTTTAATAGGTGTAACATTCTGTGGAGAGGCTGGTTGTGACCATACGAGGTGAGATGGGTAGTGATAGAGAAAAGAGAATGGTGTCTAGTAGAGTAGGAGGGAACGCGAAATGAAACAGAGGCTAGTAAGTCGGGGGAGTCGATGGTACCATTGAGTATAGATGTGATGAACATGAGATCTGCGTGTTTACGGCGAGATGCAAGAGTTGGGATATTGAGAGTGGAGCGGATAACGTCATAATCATAAGGTGTGTGTTCAATGTTTAATAAATAGGCAATAAAAGATAGGAAACGATTTTGTACTCGTTCAAGTCGCAATTGATCACAGGCCAGATATGGAAACCAAACGACCGATCCATATTCAAGGATGGAACGGACAAGGCTGAAGTAGAGGGTACGGAGACAGATGGCGGAGGTAAAGAGGGTTGTGTTTCGTTTGATGAATCCGAGGATCTTCAGGCTTTTCTCAACAGTGACATTTAAGTGGTGTTTGAAGGAGATTATTTATATATTTTTTACAGTTTTTGGTTACAGTGTGAACTATTTATGCAGAACCTTGTTTTAAATTTTTAATCCTTAGATATAGAAATAGAATATTTTATAAATTTTTAACTGTGAAATAATTTGTTAATTTTCCAAATAATGAATTTTGATGACATTTAATCTTAAAATGCTTATAAATAAAAATATTGTCTATGTATTTTTAAATTGATATTGGAACAATGGGTAAAGAGCCTTGTATTTCAAGCTTTTTACCTAATAAATACAATTTTATTGATATTTAAAGAAAAAAAACTAAAAAAATTGAAAACTAATAATGTCCGTAAATATATATCACATGTCGTAAAAAATCGAACTTCAGACGTTTATACAAATGTTATTTAACTTTCCAGTAGATAATTTTTTTTGATAAAGGTATACAAACTTATGAGGAATCTAGTGATACATTTTCAAATCTTGGAAACAAAAATAAAATTTTTTATAAATCTCCAACTTAAAATAATTTGCAAATTTCCGTAATTATTATGAATTTTGTCATAAATAAAACTTCAGAAGACTACAAAAAATTATTATGAGTAACGTTCAACTTTATTTCCACTGACAACTCAAGAGGAACATTGTTATACATTTTCAAGTTTTTTGACCAAACAAAAAAACTTTTTCATTGACATTAGTTTCATTGACACACCTACAAATAGCTCAACATGCATCAAAATATTTTGAAAATCATATGGTTTATAGAAAATACTATTATAAACATTCAGTGAAAATCACTATTTCAACTACTAGATTGAAGCTCCGCTTAGAATCTAAAAGTATTACTTAAAATCATAAATTTATAATTAATTTTATAAATAAATAATAGTTATTGTCACATTGTTGTATATAACTTAGGTGGATATTTATATTTTTGTTACCTATACTAGTTACTCAATCGAAATGTATTTTAATTGCATTTTAAATTATAATATCACCATGTTTACACAAATAAATTTAACTTTTGAAGTTTTCCTTACAATAATTGTTTAATTACTTATGCCGGAAAATTTCCCCAAGAGTTATCGTTGTTAATGATATTCAAAATAAAATGTAAAACATAATATTATTTGACTGAAACGCTTTTACTGTAGTGGTCCAGTCCATAGATTGTGTACAAGATGAATGATGACAAGGTGTAATAAATTCTAAGTCAATTTTAGATTATTATGAACATAGGCTTTATTTGACATGTAAAACTGATAGAATATTTTTATAACACTGAAATTTATCTGAGAGTCGACTGGCGTGAAGGTGCTCGTACTGGCTCTGGTAAATCACATCTGAATATCGGGTGGCTGGGTCCCTGTTTTATAGGCCTGATCTCTACTCTTCTCCTAACGATAAGAGCTAGCGCTGACCCCGTTTACTATTGCACGTGTGCGTATGAGTTCCAGGAAACGGTCTATTCCTACGCGGTTGTCGCTGTCGATATATTATCTGACGGCTATTTATAATAATAGAACAATATTTATATCATTCATTATATATGTCCATATATATTCATGTTTCTAATTGTCTCCATATATCTTTCGCAACGCAATTTTGTTTGTCGAGTTCTCAGAACTACGCACTCAAAGACTTTAGTTGTTATCCTAAATCTTTCAAGGCGCTTTCCCGAGGTCAATCACATCCTAGTGTGAACAATCTCATGCGTCCCCCTCGCTATCTTAAGTATATACGTATATAGCGGGACGTCAGTACATAGCACCTCACCCCTAAAAATGAAGATTTCATGTCTTTAAAGGCAAAAACTGGTCTCCTCCAGAGTAGCTGCCTCAGCCCAAGTGCTATGCTATCATCGAAGCCCTAACATTAATTCTTAACTTCTCCCTAAATAAATATTTCATAGCCACTGATTCTATGTCCTGTAACGAGATTGCTGATAATTTGGCTAAATCCTCCTCCCGTCTAATTTGTCCCTCTCTTACACATCTACCACATTCTGACTTTATTCCATTTCTAAAACACTACCAATCTAACCTATGGTCTTCCCAATGGAATAACTTATCTGCTGAGTTCACTTCGAGATACAGACACATAACGCCTAATATTAAAAAAAAAATGGTTTCATAACTTAAATTTACAAAGGTCTCATATAGTCCAGTATAATCGTTTACGGATAGGACATTCATTATTACCTGGTCACTCATTTAAACTTGGACTAAACGACTCGCCACTTTGTACACTTTGCACATTTCCTCCTAATGAGTATATATGTGACCTTCCTCATATTTTATTTAACTGCACTGCTCTCTGACTTAAAAGACTAATTCTTTTCAACACTCTTATGTCTCTTAATATTCCCATCAACCTTTATTCCATCCTAAACTCCAATACTGAAACAGCTATCAAAACAATAATTGCCTTTATACAGGAGGCTGGCTTTATTATATAGTATATATAAGTACTTAATTGTTTGTTAAGAGGACGCTATACCGAAAGTGAAACGTATACAACGCTCCAGAGTCCAGAGATGGCGTTGTGCGCCGTATCGCCGCCGACTCGGCAGACCGTAGCCACGCCCATTGTCTACGTACCGAGGTTTGCGCGCCGTAGTCGCGGCCTCGCGGGAGAGGTACATTATTATCCAATGGAATAAGATTTATTTCGCCAGATTTTGGCCCCGAACAAAAATAAACAGCACAGTTATTGTGCTGTCCTAGTCTATGGTACGGGCTATTTGAAATATCTTTTCGGAGTTCTGAAATAAAATTTTATAATATACTTTAAAAGTTATTATATTTGTAGATTAGTAGATTTTACATTAAATTACACGGAGAAGTGAAAATTATTACCTACCTGCAATTTTTGTTTGAAATGGTACATCAGATTCGATGTAATGTTTAGTGGCCTTTGTTATATCTGAGCGGAATCGAACAATATTAGTTAAAATATGCTTTCTTATTGAAATAGGATATTCTGTCTGTTTAGCTATAGCTGATAATTTTGTAGTGTAATTTCTAAGTAGGTGATTTTTACATTCAATTTTTTTAACTCTAAAATCATTTCCATACGGCAATACCTCATTTAAACGCTTAGTTACTGAACTATCACCATCACCTATTTTTGGACCATTTTATTATTATTGTTGTTTTTAGTTTCAAATTTTCTAATTTAATTACCTATTAATTTATTGTATTTCAAACCATGCATATTTATACTATTCAAAAATCCTTCCAATATTGTATCAGCTTCCATTGCCGTTGAAGATGCTTTCCAATTTAAGAAACATTGATGATTAGTGGGCTCTATTTTTTTGGTTAAAGCTCGTTGACAAATACAGCAATAACTGTTTCTTATACCAAGAAATAAAACCTTTTTTGTTTTAAAACCAATGATAGTAGCCTAAAATCATACGACAAAAAAAATAACAAAAATACCACCTATAAACATTGTTATGGTATCACTGGTGTTATAGTGATAACAGTTATTATCACAATCAGTAAAAACACACCAGTCGTCTACCATGTCTTTAGCCGTTGTTTATTATGTAATAATATGTAGCTCTCGTATTTTGGAATAATGAATAAATATATTAATTTATACACGTGTACGGTTAAGTTTATTTAATATATAGTTACCTAGATAATTGCATTAGTGTACAACAATACAATTATAACATGGCGCAGTCGTTTATGAACCAAATCAAGGATTGATGAGATAATTATAGATATAAATATATAATAGTATAATACCGTCGAAGAAGATGTCGTTGGAATTCAACAGACCGGGAGGTTTGTGCCTGGAAGGTAATATATCGGAAAATTTTAAAATATTCAAACAAGAAATATTAATTTACTTTAAAGCAACAGAGACTGATAAGAAAGATACCGGCGTGCAAGTGGCTAGGTTATTAAATTTATTGGGTCATGATGGACTAAAACTGTATAATACAATCAAAAAAGAAGATCCAGAAACAGTTGATACTATATTAAAGGCATTAGAAATATATTGTATCCCGAAAACAAATGAAATCATTGAGCACTTTAATTTCTTTAATCGCAAACAAGGTGAAGGTGAACAATTTGATATCTGGTACACTGATTTGAAGAAATTAATAAAAGGATGCAACTTTGGTGACGCAGAAGACAAGATGCTAAGAACACAAATAGTTTTGGGTGTTTTTGACAAAGAAACTCAAACAAGATTGCTGAGGGACGATGTAGGGCTAGTTAAAATTGTAGCCTACTGTCAATCAATTGAACGAGCTGAAAGCAACCGACGAATGTTATCTTCAACTAAAGAAGTGGACAAAGTTGTGCATGGAGTTGGATTCAAATCAAAATGGGGAACTGAAGACATAGAAAAAAGAAACAACTCAAAGCAAAGTCAATGGAAAAGGAATAATGCAAATGATCATCAAACGGAGACAACCGAAGATAAAGGTAAGATGGGTAGTCAAATTAATTGTAATAGGTGTGGTCTAAGACATATGTATAGAGAGTGTCCAGCGTATGGCAAAAATTGTAGAAATTGTAGTGGTTTTAATCACTTTGCAATAATGTGCAAAAAGAAAAAACAAGTATATGAGAAAAATATAAAAAAAAAAGCGCAAGAAATTAGAGTTGAAAGTAAAGATGAAGAGGACAGTGTATTTTCAGTTCAATCTATTCATACAGTTTGTTCAATTAAAAATGAGTGGTGTAAAGTATTTAAAGTTAATGGAAAAGAAGTAAATTTTAAGCTAGACAGCGGGGCTGAGGTAAATACATTGTCAGAAAGAGATTGTAAGAAACTGAATTTAATGAAATTAATTAAAAAATCGAATATAGTGTTAGAAGTATACGGAGGTTTTAAAATGAAACCTACTGGTGAGGTAAAAGCAATATTAACATTAGGTGATCAAAAGATAGAAACAGAATTTGTTGTAATAGATAAAATATATGATAGCAAATCTATAATAGGATTACCTATGCTGAAAAAATTTAAACTATTGAAAAATGTCAATGTCATAGATAAGAGTAGAAATGAATCAGATATAAATTATTTTATTGAGAATAATAGGGATATCTTTGAAGGTGTAGGGTGTTTTCCTGATGTTTGCAAATTGACAATGAAAGAAGGGGTGACACCGAAGGCAAGTGTAGCAAGGAGAGTGCCAATAAAAATTAAAGACAAACTGAAATTAAAATTAGAGGAGTTAGTGGAAAAAGAAATAATTGCACCAGCAGATGAGCCAAGTGAGTGGGTCAACAATCTAGTGATAGTACAAAAGCCAGATTTGTCATTAAGAATTTGTTTAGATCCACAGGAATTGAATAAGAGTTTAGTTAGAGACCAATTTTTAGTGCCGACGCTAGAAGAAATTACGCCAAAGCTAATTGGAAGAAAATATTATAGCGTTCTAGACTTGAAAGATGGTTACTATCACATAAAGTTAGACGATAGGTCAAGTAAATATTGTACATTTAGCACACCATTTGGAAATTATAGATTTTTGAGACTGGCGTTTGGGTTGAGTGTAGCGCCAGAGTTATTCATGAAACAGAATGAAAAATATTTTGGGGATATTGAGGGGGTGACAATTTATTTTGATGATATTTGAATTGCAGCAGAGTCATTACACCAACATCAAGTAATCATGAATAAGGTTATTGAGAGAGCTAGACAATATAATATAAGATTTAATGTAACAAAATTACAATATAGTCAGAAAGAAGTAAAATTTATGGGTTTGATATTTAATGAAAAAGGTATGAGTCCTGATGAAGAAAGAATAAAAGTGATAAAACAACTACAGATTCCGCATAATAAAAAAGAATTGCAACAAATTTTAGGAGTTGTAAACTTTCTAAGGCAATTTTTACCTAATTTGTCGGAAATAATAGGGCCAATGAGGGAATTATTGAAAAAAGAGGCATTGTGGAATTGGACAGAGGAACACTCAAAGTCATTGGAGAAAGTAAAAGGTTTGATTAGTGAAAAATCCTTGTTAGTACATTTTGATGCCAAACAACCAGTGCAAATACAGTGTGACGCTTCTAAAAATGCCATTGCTTGTTGTTTGTTACAATCGAATAAACCTGTGTGGTTTGCATCCAGATCATTGACTGAAACGGAGCAATTGTATGCAATAATTGAGAAAGAACTCTTGGCAGTGACATTTGCAGTTAAAAAATTTCATTATTATATTTATGGTCACCATGAGGTAAAGATTTACACAGATCATCAACGATTGGTATCAATAGTAAGAAAAAATTTAGATAAAGTTGAGAATAATAGACTGAAACGGTTAAAATTAAAGTTAATGAATTATAGATATACATTAGAATACTTACCTGGTAAATATATGTACATAGCTGATTTATTAACAAGAAATATAATTCATAAAGAAGAGAATGATGATGCAACATTAAGAGATCTGATACATACAGTAAGAGTCACTGAAATAAGGTATAGTATAGATAAACTTGTTGAATTAAAAATAGAAACAGATAGAGATAGAATATTGAGTCGTGTAAAAGATTATTATTTAAATGGTTGGCCAAATAAATTGAAAGAAGTTGGTGAAATGAATCATTATTATAAAATAAGATCAGACTTAACAGTTGAAGATGAGTTAGTATATTTTGAGAATAGAGTAATAATACCAACAACATTAAGAGATAATATGCTGAAACAGTTACATGACAGTCATCAGGGGGTATGCAAGACAAAAGAATTAGCCAAGCAACATATTTATTGGCCAGGTATAGCATCTGATATTACAAATTTAGTTCTGGCATGTGCAATTTGTAATAAGTATACTAGAAGTAATAAGAGAAATGTATTACTAAACCATGAAATACCTGATGTACCGTTTGACAAAGTTGGAGCTGATATAGCTAGTTATGGAGGAAAGGATTATCTAATCATTGTTGATTACTATTCAAAATGGGTGGAAGTATGTAAGTTGAAGTGGAAAACAGCACAGGAAATAAAAAAAAAGTGTACAAAAATATTTGCTAGATTTGGCATACCTAGTGTGTTTGTAGCGGATAATATGCCATTTAATAGTATACAGTTTAGGGCATTTGCAAAAGAATGGGGAATACAGATAATGAATAGTAGTCCCAACTACCCTGAGAGTAATGGGTTGGCAGAAAAATTTGTAGGTATCATAAAAAAAATGTTGAAGAAGTGTGTCGATACGAATGATAAACTTGAAAATTACCTATTAAGTTATAGAAATACTCCTTTAACGAATATTGGTAAATCACCTGCAAATCTACTACAGAATAGAATTTTAAAAACTAAACTACCCATAGTAGATAGGACCAGTGACGGTGCGACTAAACTGATAAAACAAAGAATGGTTGAAAACCAAAAAACACAAAAAATGTATTTTGATAGGAAAGGTACGGTAGAGGAAACTGTTTATAAGGAGGGAGAAAAGGTATGGATACAGAATAAATTTAATAAAACTTGGAGTGAGGCGAGAATAATAAAAAAATTAGACTTACCAAGATGTTACCTAGTGAAAGATAGTGGTGGTAAAGTATTAAGAAGAAATATAAAGTTTATTAGAAAAAAGAAAACATTAAGTTTAGAATTGGATGAGGAAGAGAATATGGCTGATAAAGAACAAATTGTGAGAGATAATGAAAGTAATAGTAATATGGTGGTGAGGAGATCAAAGAGAACAATTAAAATACCAGAAAGATTTGGATATTAATTGTTATATCTTACTTAAAATTGTTTAATTCATATCTAATAGTGTAATTGTTTAATTTTAGTGGAAAGTATAATGTTAAATAGTTATTGATTTAAAAAAAAAAAAAAAATGTAAATTGTAAAGTCTAAATTGTTTTTAATTGTTAAAAAATATTGTCATATTGTTACTACTTACAAGTAAATTAAATAATTAATAAGGAGGATGTTATGGTATCACTGGTGTTATAGTGATAACAGTTATTATCACAATCAGTAAAAACACACCAGTCGTCTACCATGTCTTTAGCCGTTGTTTATTANGCGTCAACGCAGTCGATCGTTGCGTAAATATTGTCTTTACTAGCATGCGGCGCGATCGCTCCTAGCGCAAGTCACAAACCATTTCTTAAATTCAGCTCCTGTTTACTTAAATAATATTTTTTTTACATGAACCATATAATCTGTTATAGGTACAACATAGCTCGAGTTATATTTATAACCTAATTACTTTTTAAATACATGTAATATAATACATTTTTTAATAAACGTGTTGCGTCTTTTACGTTATAACTTATAAGTTATAGGTGACCAGAAATACTTTACATTGATAATAATAACTTTATTAAACCAGTTTATTATTATAATTTATTAAATAAAAATAAATAAATAAAATATTAATATATCATTTAATATTTTATAAATGGTTGAACATTTATTTGTATTTTAGGTTGTAGGTAGTAGGTACACAAATATATTTTTATGTCTTGTTAATTTGGTTTTGAATGTAGGTGGGCTCTCTTATATCACTTTTCAAAAAACGTTTCCATATAGTGGATCGATAATTTCTGGCAGTAAACATTCTAAATAAAATCTGAAAGAGTAATATTATATTTTAGTTTGAATTATTAAACTTACACTAAATAAAATGTATTTTTTACAGTTTTAATTTGTCGACCATTTTAGTTCTCCAAAATATTTCATCAAACTCTATTTTCTGGGTGTTTGACCAATTTGGAGTATATATCACAAAATAACATAACTTCCTATTTGTTATTCGTAATTGCCCCATTATTTGAAAATAATACTTATGATCTTTTTTAAGTGTTATTTCTTTGTTATTTTCTATAGTGCAATACTGTAACTGATTATAAAATATTATAAATTTAAAATTTAAATTCAAATGTTTTTAGGATTAATGTTTAATTTCATATATATATATGCAATAATATTGTTAATATTAATCACCATTTTCATTTCTATCGCCTCAACTGCATTTAAAGAATCTTTCGCTGCAAACGGACATTTGATTTCCAATATAGCATTTTCACCGACCAATCCATCTGCAATGAACAAATACATATATTGGTACAAATTATTAGTTTAAAATTGTGAAATAAAAAAAAAAATAAAACAATATTACCCGGAGTCGCGGCTAAATAAGGAAATTCCTTGTCACAAAATAGTCCACATATTTACACATGCATATTATAAAGTTTTTCAAAGTGTGCTCGTGCTAAAGGTTCCATTTGAATGCCATAAGTCGTTTGTTTACACGTTGTGTTTGGTTTGTACAATAAGTTGTATACTTTTGTTCGACAACTTGTATTTTTTCTCATCTTGCATATTTCACCAAAATTTGATGCTGTAAGCCTTTTTTTTCTTTCATTATGCCAATCATTACTTAGACTTTGTTCTCTAGTGTTGTATTCTAATTCTTCTGCATTGACTTCGACTAATTGTTTTAAAAATGAATCTTTTTTTAACTTTAAATCGTTATCGCTAATCAAACCGTCTAATGGTTCAGCGAGCCCATAATCTGCGTCTGAACCACTATACTTAATCATTGGCTTTTTTCGTTTTTCACCTTCACAAAAAAGTTTTCTTCTTCTCATGACAGTGTTTTTCCGTATTCTTTAAATGTTGGACATATATCGTTTAGCAATTTTACCTATAAAAGCATTATAAATAATAAGCGAAAGCTAGTATGCAAATAAATTTTAGTTTAACTAATTAAAATTTACCTGGACTGGCGGTTGTTATTTTTTTATGAACTATTCTCAAATAATTGTTTGAATTATATGATAAAATTGCTGCTTCTACTCGGGTTTTATAATTATTTTTTTGTGTATAATTAATGCGTTTTCCACCAACATGCTTATTAATTATACTATTTAATTGTTCACAAGGATTATTGTCGACATTTTCAATTAAACTATCAGCGTTTACGATCAATCTATATACAACATTATTTATACTTGTCATCATTTTAGATTTTTCTGCCAATGGAATAAGATTTATTTCGCCAGATTTTGGCCCCGAACAAAAATAAACAGCACAGTTATTGTGCTGTCCTAGTCTATGGTACGGGCTATTTGAAATATCTTTTCGGAGTTCTGAAATAAAATTTTATAATATACTTTAAAAGTTATTATATTTGTAGATTAGTAGATTTTACATTAAATTACACGGAGAAGTGAAAATTATTACCTACCTGCAATTTTTGTTTGAAATGGTACATCAGATTCGATGTAATGTTTAGTGGCCTTTGTTATATCTGAGCGGAATCGAACAATATTAGTTAAAATATGCTTTCTTATTGAAATAGGATATTCTGTCTGTTTAGCTATAGCTGATAATTTTGTAGTGTAATTTCTAAGTAGGTGATTTTTACATTCAATTTTTTTAACTCTAAAATCATTTCCATACGGCAATACCTCATTTAAACGCTTAGTTACTGAACTATCACCATCACCTATTTTTGGACCATTTTATTATTATTGTTGTTTTTAGTTTCAAATTTTCTAATTTAATTACCTATTAATTTATTGTATTTCAAACCATGCATATTTATACTATTCAAAAATCCTTCCAATATTGTATCAGCTTCCATTGCCGTTGAAGATGCTTTCCAATTTAAGAAACATTGATGATTAGTGGGCTCTATTTTTTTGGTTAAAGCTCGTTGACAAATACAGCAATAACTGTTTCTTATACCAAGAAATAAAACCTTTTTTGTTTTAAAACCAATGATAGTAGCCTAAAATCATACGACAAAAAAAATAACAAAAATACCACCTATAAACATAAAAAAAATGTAATCTTACTGATCCTGAAAACGCATTATATTTGGTTTTATAGCTTCTTTTAGACCATTGGCCATCAGCGATAACAGTGCACATAGGAACCCCGTCTTTGTCCACATTGCCACATTCTATCGCCAATCGCCGTTCTTCTATACCAGCTTGAATAATTTCTTCTAAAGCACTATCTTGAATTGACTGACTAACCGATGACAAATTATTTAAATACCCTACTGATGACAAAAATGGAATTTCAGCTGAGGCGGAAAGTTCAGTAAGCTGTGCATGACCTATTCCTATAGTAAAATTAAAAATATTTAATTTCTAAATTACCGTAGTATAGTTTTTTTAATGATATTTTGATGAAATCCGTACCAACAGCTATACTGCCATTCACTAAGGCTTTATTAATTGGCAAATAATTACAATCTTGTTCATTTTCCGATGTGAACATCGACGTAATACCACACATTTTGCATCGGAATTTAAAAGTTGAGCTATACCCTCTACGTTGCTCAGATATGAACTGCATATTTAAAAAGGAGCATTGCAAAATTGCATGTCGGCTATTTTGAATCTGAGAAAATAAATGACTTATATTCACAATCCTACGTCCTTCAAGAGATCTGTAAAAAGTAAAAAAAAAACGGGAAATTCGAAATTTGAAATCAAAATGTCTAGGTATAAACAAATGAAATATAATTGTATACGAAAAACGATTCTGAGCGGAGACGATTTGTCGGTACTGAACTAAAAATTAATTTGCAAAAAAAAAAATTGACAACGATATATTTTTTATCGATATTTAAAAAAAAAATTTGGAAAAACTGAAAATTTCTTAGGCCTACAATTAGCCAAAAACTTGTCAAATTATTTTTAAATTTTTTTGGTGTATATAAAATGGTTATCTTAACAATTGGTGAAATTTTCAAATATCTGCGATAGTTTATTTTTGAATAACATCAAAATAAGAAATTAGTGCATGGAAAAAACGGGGTAACATACAATGTCTTACTTCAAACGCTCATAAAAATTTAGTTTGACTTTCCGGTAAAAATGTTTTTTGTTAGAATGGTAGAAAAACTTATGGAGAATCTCATGTTAAATTTTCAAATCTTAGACACAAACCAAAAAGATTTTATGAACTTTTCAATAAAAAAAAAGGTAGGTAAACTGTACAGGATTTATTAAATTTGAATTCAACGATAAATCATTGCATACGAAAAACGATTCTGAGCGAAGACGGTTCATCAGCCAATATTATCTAAATATATTTAAGGTTATAAAAGTAATTTATTTTACCACGAGACACGAGTAATACAGTACCTAGGTTGAATTAATTTTTTAAAAACTTTGAGTTTTTAAATGTCATTGTGTTTTTAAAACGATAACACACTTTAAGAGTTTCAAGTATGTGCACTCGTATCTTTAATATTTTTTTAACTGATATCAAAACAACTCATGAGAAACCATATATTACATTTTCAAGCTTTTCGAGACAGTGAAAAATTTTTCAATAGATAATCATAGAAAAAAATCTAAAAAAATCGAACATTTTCCATGCCAAATTTGATCTTAACACTTGTATATAAAACGACCATTTTAATATATTTTTCAGATTATTTTGTTAAATTATCTACTAACTTCAAAAGAACCTTGTTTTAAATTTTCAATCCTTAGTTTTAAAAATTGATCATTTGATAAATTATTTAGTACAAAATAATTTGCACATTTTCGAGAATTTGATGAATTTTGACAACATTTGAACTTTAAATGCTTATAAAATAAAATCTTGCCAATATTTTTTTTTAATTTTTATACTACTATTAGAATAAGTTTTGAGGAATCTTGTATTAAATTTTCAAGTGTTTTGACTGAACCAAAAAAATTTTATCGATATTTAAAAAAAAAAAAACAAAAAAGTCAAAATTACTTTTACCTACAACTTGCGCAAAATAATTCAAAAAATTTTCAAAATTTCGTGGTATATTAAAGTTACAAATATAAACATTTGGTGAAAATTTCAAGTACCTACGTTCATTATTTTTTGTTTTACGCGAAAAGACAAAATCAATTTTTCCGAAAATTGGCTGTGCGTAAAAATTCCCGTTTTTTCCTTAATTTTTTGTTAGTTTTTCCCGCCGCGTTAAAAAACTGTTGAGAAATTTTTACTTTTGACCCCCCAAAGTACCGACTAGATTCACTTTCCCACCAGAAAAGTTGCTGTTCGAAGAAATCGAAGCATTTTAACTGCCCCAAAACGTGATGACAGACAAAAAAAAACACACATCATTGTAAAATCAATACATTCATCGCTACGCTCAGAATCTAAAACTGCGAAATTTCGTGATTTTTACGTATTTTTTCAAATTTCCAACTTTAGAGGCTGAACAATCAAATAATTTTTTGATTTTAACTTAAAACAAGTTATGAAAAATCTTAAATTTTTATCGACTGTATATATAAACGTTTGGTGATAATGTCATGTCTCTACGGATTTTTTTTTGTTACACCAAAAATAAAAATCGATTTTTCCAAAAAAAGTGTATTGCGTAAAAATATCCATTTTTTTTTGTTTTTGCCACTGCGTTTAAAAAGTATTGAAAATTTTTTTCTTTTGACTCCCAAAGAATTTTAAAATTCACACGTAAAATAACGATTTACTTTCAAATGCTTTTAGATATAAATTAAAAAATAAAATATCCTAGACTGACAAATTGTCTCCATTTTTTTTGTATACAATGATACCAATCATAAATGCATTGAAATTTAACACATCCATTATAGTGACCTACATACAATTTTAATGTATTTAATTATGTATTATTTATTCCCTTGTGGTATATCTGATGTTTCGTGAATCGATTGTAATACATGGTCGGTTACTTGTGTTTCATGTTTACTAAAAAATAAATGAACTTGTTTTAATTAAACATTTGATTTTTTATTTGAAATATATAAATTGGTTAATTAACCTCGACGTCGACGGTGAGCTCCAAATAAAAGGTTGTGTTTCGTAGTTAACTCTAGTATCATTGTCTTCGACATGAAAAATTAAATTTGACTCACTAAAATGTAATCATTATTTTCAGAAAACAATTATAAGTATTATAATGTATTTATAATAGAATGATATATACTCGAAGTTCGAAGATTCTGGAATTGTATCTAAATTTTCCGTTGCAGGATTTTCACTATTCTCAGACATGCCATCTAATACATTATTTGGTAGCAGTAACAGTCCTTCACTGAAATAGTTACTTCTATCAATCATTTAAATATAACAAAAACTACTATACCTTTCAGTATCTAAAGTACTAAAATAAGTTATTATCGGATTGTTATTAATTAAATTTCATATTTACGTTTTTTTTAGTCTCGTATTCATACGTTGTTTTAGTTTACTAATCATACGTTTTCTAACTGCCTTATTTCCAGTGGAACGTTTTTTTGTACGTAGTTTTTTGGGCGACATTGTAAATAGTAGACAGTGGCCACCAACAATTTAAATACAAAATAAATTACACACAAATGCACCAAAACAAACTGATCAGTGGGAAGTTATCGCCGATCGGATCTTGCAATACGCAATAGTATTACTGGATAGTAATGTCACTTCATATTCATAATATCTAAATAATAAATATCTAAACTATTCCTGGAAATTATTATGGGCGCGCAAAATAAGCGATAACGAAAGCGCGTGGCGCGGCTCAGATACAGCCGATACGGGCAATTATAATATTTTGTCATAATTAGTTATTTATAATTAGTTTGTAGTGGTGGGGGACATCGTGTTCGCTGTCGCAACGACTGCGTGACCGCGGACCACAGGCACTAGGTGGCACCACATT